GTGGCGGAGACACTGACGCCGGCCTCCTGCAGCTGAACGTGGGCATCCCCTCGCTGACGCGGTGCTGCAACCAGCATGACCGCTGCTACGAGACCTGCGGCCACAGCAAGAGCGACTGCGACGAGCAGTTCCAGGCCTGCCTCTCCAAGATCTGCCGCGATGTGCAGCGGACACTCGGGCTGGCTCAGCATGTGCAGGGTGAGGGCCGCGGTGGGTGACCACGGGTGGGTGGCTCGCCTCCCAAGAGGGTCTGCCGCAGAAGCCTCAGCCGTGTCGTGACACAACCTCTTATTTCTGAGATGACAGTTCCTATCTGCGGGGATGGGCGGTCAGGGACAGGAGTGTTAGAGTCCTCCCAGCCCGTGCCCTGGAGGGCAGCCTAACCACCTGGAGCCCACCTGGAACCCTGAACCACTGTCCAGGCAGCTGCTGCCACCCGCAGAGCCTGAGCGGCTTATAAACCATGGAAGTGTGTCTTCCCAGTCCAGAGCGGAGACAGATCCTCCCGGGGTCAGCTGTCTCGCATGGTGCAAGGGACCTGGCAGCTCTCCGCGGCTTCTCTGTTTCGTTTTTTAATTTGCTAGGGGGTGTGTACATACACCAGACAGAGGGAAAGTGAGAAATCACCCTCAAGGGGCCCGGTCAGTCGCAATCCCTCATCCTCTGTTTCTCTCCCCAGGATCTCGAGCACGCACGCACACGTACCTGGAATATTTTTCAAGCTACCAGGTCTAGGACCCAAACTGTGTGTGGCCGGTCGTGTGGGACCTTGTCACTTTTACCACCAGGACACCAGCTGGTCCTTTGTCTGATAAGGGCACTCACTGGGGGCTCCCCCTTGGTGGCTAGTCACCTGCCAAACACCTTGCCTCCTAACACCGTCACCTTGGAGGTTAGGGTTTCAACACATGAATTTTGGAGAAACAAATACTGGGTTGTAGGAAAAGTCTTGACGCAGTTATACATAGAAGAACGTCGAGAAATACATCATGGCTTTTCTAGCGGCCTAATATTTAGCCCTCAGCATAGCACCCTGGATTTGGAAGGACATTTGAGAAGATTTCAGTCTTAGCTCTGTCTCTTCCTGTGTATCTGTGTCAGGAGGGCCCCCCAAAGCACCCCCAGTTTCCGCATCGACTGGGGGACTCACAGGACTGACACGTAGTTGTGCCCACCACGTGGCTCCCTGCGGTGAAAGGGTACAAAGCAAAATCCAGGAGGGGCAGTGGCGAGTCTGTCCTCGTTTACAGACCAAGCACACCGGCAGCCTCACCTCCAGGAGCCGTCAGGACAGCGAAAGGGTGCACTGGGGCAATGAGATCCCTGCTCAAATACTGGTGGCCACAGGGTTTCTCTGCTGTCGGGCTGGAGAGCACGCCAGGCGCAGAACCAGGAGAGGGAGGGCGGGGGAGCCAGCCTCCCCCATCCTGCGGGGTGCCGGGCCGCCTGCGCTGCTCACCTCACTCTGTGCTCACGGAAGCCAGAGAGGGAGGCAGCATTAGGCCCGCTTTCCTGCCTGGTGTCCGGGTTTCTTAGAGGAGCCAGTGGATTTCTTTTCTGAATAGTCCTGAATCCTAAAAATGTTAAAACCATTCCTAGGTGAGGGGCCAGCCAGCGCTGTAGTGGGGAAGGTGGCTGGGGCCCACACGGCTGACAGTGCGATTCGAGTCCCGGACCCAGTGGCGTGAAACCATACCGGGTGCCGGTGCGTGCCCGAGATTCCGAGAGGAGAGTGGAGAAGGGGCTGCGGCGTGGCCGTCCCCCGGGGGTGATGTCTCGCTTTCTGTCTCGCTTCCTGCCTGTCTTCCTGGTGAGCGCACGTGCCCTACAGCAAAAACCTCTCCGGAAGGAGAACCCTTTTGATTTTTTGTGCCCTCACAGCCCAAAACCAAATTTGGATATTGGTCGAAGAGAGACGCTGAGTTTATTCACTTTAAGCTTCTCAAGGGACGTGTGTGGAAATGCTTTGAGGTTCTGCTTTTCAATTTTCTTTATCTAGACAGACGAGATTGAGAGTCATCAGGCATCCGGCTGGGTGGCCAGTTCTCAGACCCGGGCGCTCAGCGGCCGCTTGTCCGTGCTGTCAGCAGTTACGTGTCGGGCACGGAGAGCTGGGCTGGGCGGCCGACTGGCACAGGGCGAGGTGCACTGCTGCCGTGAGCGGGCTTGGTGCGACTCGCTCACACGCGGCCGCGTCCTCCCTGGGCATGAGCTCGACACGCCACCAGAGCCGTGGTGTGCATGGCTGTGGTGCACGTGGCCGTCCGTCACCCTCAGGGTGGCCTTTCCTCCTGCAGCGTGCGAGACGGCGGTGGGGCTCCTGTTCGACAGCGTCATCCACCTGGGCTGTAAGCCGTACCTGGACAGCCAGCGGGCCGCCTGCAGGTGTCGCCATGAGGAGAAGACCGACCTCTGAGGGAGCCGCGGACAGCAGGTGACAGCGGGGACGAGGACGGAACGGAACCTGCCACCAGACTGCTGTTTCCACGGCAGGAAGCGGCCTCGTCCCCGTGGGAGGACAGTGCTGGGCCTTACACGGTCTGTACTTGCCATCAGGCCTCACGGTGGGCCAGGGGCAGGCGGCGTGGGCACCCGCCTGTGGGTCTCCCAGCCCTCTCCCCTATGCCAAACTCTCCTCACCAGTCTCAGAGACAGGTGGGGTCCAGGGGAGGGCTTCTGAAAGAACAGTAGTAGTTCCATTTCCAGAGCCATATTTAGAAAAGAGATCTAATATAAAGCGCAAACGTCATTACAGTGTGTTCAACATCCTCTCGTTTGGAAACAGGAAGGCCTTTGCTTAGCGTGCCACTTGTTTACTGTGACTCTTGACTGCACATTTCGGCCCGGAGGAAAAGCTGGCCCTGGTGGTGAGCACCGTAATCCCAGCTACTCGGAGCCTGCGGCAGGCTGGAGGCCAACCTGGGCAATGCAGTGAGTCTGTCTCTTGGGAGAAAGAAAACCACACACACACACACACACACACACAAGCACATGCACATATACCTGCGAGAAACTGACTTGATTTTTCCTTTACTTTAGTTCTACATAGTGTGTCACTCCCCTGTAGCCAGTGAACACATGACTAAGCCACGCTTTTCTCAGGACTAGATGCAGCGAGGTCTCCATGGCTGTCTCATAGTCTCGGCCGTCAGCCGGGCCTCTTGGGAGCGACCCGGGCAGCCTCGTGGTGCGGTCTGCCGTGAGCTGTCAGGGGCAAGATTCAGAAGCACAGCCACTCCCCTTTCAAGAGCTGCTCAGGGGCCAGTAGGTCGCGTGGAACTTTAGACAGCTGGGTCCCACAGGGCCGACTCCATGATTCAAATTCCAGACCCTGGAGCTTAAACAATATGCTGGGCGCACGCATGCCCAAAATCCTAAGAGAAAAATGGAGAAGGGATCGCAGCGTGGCCATCCCTAGAGCATGATTTCTCACTTTCCCTGTCTCTTAGCACACGCGCCTGATGGCAAAAATTCTCAAAAAAAAAAAAAAAAAGAACCACTCAAATGACAAGGGGGACTTTTTGCTATGGCCTTTGCCAAAACTGGAGAGACAACGAACAGGACGACCGTACAGGGCGGCCGGGCACACAGTGCCTGAGCTGCTGCGCTGGGCTGGCCTCCCAGCTCTCGCTCCTGGGGTAGAATCTGGGTCATTAAGGACGAAACCTGTTACTCCGTGCAGCCTTAATAAAATTGCTCCTGCCATTGTTTTGTTTTAAAAGCTTATTTCTCTCATATGAGAGAGAAAGAGACAGGTCCCTGACAAGGTCTCGCCACGCTGCAGCCCTCCCGCAGCCTCTCGAGGCCCGGGTGACGTGTTGAGCAGGGTCCGAGCGCAGGCCGTGCGTGTGGCTGCAGGGCAGTGTGGTGGCGCCCTACTGCCTGTGCCACTGCGGCTGGCCCAGGCTGTGCTTTGCGGTTCAGTCCAGAACTGGACCGTTGGAAGAGATGGAGAAATCAAGGTACAATGAATTGTCTTTTACAGACCTTATTTACATTGCAAAGTATAAACAGGTCCACGAGCTTGCCCTGGAAACTCGGAGCTTCTCCCTGCGGAGGGTGCGGCTGGGCTTCTGTACCCGTCTTTGCTAACCCAGCTGCTGCCTTTCCAGCCCAGGGCCCTGAGCCACATATGAGGGCGCTTCAGAATGTTTGTGGGCGATGGAAGAAGTACCGTCCGGGCACACGGCATGCCCTGTAGTGCAGCGGCGAGCACTGTGCAGAGGGAGCCGGGTCTCAGTGGCTGACCACAGTTCAAATCTCAGCCCCGGCACCTTGAAAAGATGCTGGGTGTGTGTGCGCCGCTTGGTGTCCGTGCCCCAAATCCTGACGGCGTGGAGAAGTGGGGGAAACAGATCGCAGCGTGACCGTGCCCCGCTGGGGCGAGGGAGGGATGTTTTCTCGCTGGAAAGTACACGTGTCCTCCAGCGATAACAATAATGATGATGATGAAACGAGCTTATGTTGGTACAAAAAATTTTTTTAAGTTATGCAGTTTTTTCATAATATGCATTTCCTATGAAATTCTGAACGCCTCTTAAGTACCCTTGGATAACCTGTGGCCAAAGTTACTAATATCAACCGCTTGGAAAGTCAGAGAGCACAAGGCAGGGGCTTCTCTGTCATTACCGGCAGGACTGCAAAGAAGGACAGTTATATTCTTGACAGTTATATTCCTCCCTCCAGTCTGCGTGGTGCTGGAAGCCCGGCACCGCCTGGACCGGCCGTGGCGCTGCCCTTCTGGCGTCTGGGCACAGGGCAGGTGTGCCTGCGGCCGAGCACGCTGGGCCCCAGTGTACATGTTTGCAAGCCTTGATCGATCTGTATTTCCAGTTTTTTAAAAGTACACACTTGCCAGCCATTGCCAGTATTTGTCTATCAATATTTATTACCAAAATACTTGATCAGGTAACCTTAAACGTACGAGGAATTGATGGATCCCTCAGAGCAGCATTGGCTCCCTCAAGAGACAAGCTCAGAATGTCTTTTTAAAAATTTTTAATTTTATTTTATTATCATTATTATTATTATTAATTTGACCGGAGAGGGACACATAGAGAAGAAAGCAAGCCACCAGGTTTGGGACTTGAAGCTTGGTTGGCCATGGGGGAGTCCATCACCTTAACCACCATGTCACCTGCCGGCCCCAAGCTCAGAATGTCTTTATAAAGTATTCCATTCATAGGGCCGGAGGTGGCATGGAAATTAGAGAGGCTGGATCCCACATAGCCAACATTGTGGTTCGGGTCCCAGACCTGGTGGCTTGAAAGTTGTGATGGGAATGTGTGTGCATGCACAGTCCGGGAGGAGATGGAGGGAAGGGGTGAATGAGTTTCACAGGTGGTGCTACACTGCTAGAGGCCACTGTTTGGGAAGTGGCCTGAGTGGGCTTCAGTTGCTGAAACCGATGACCACGCAGAAAGCTGACTGGTACCATTGTAGGAGTGTGGCCATCGCTGTCTCAAAACTCCGTGGAATTGGGAACCAGCAGTTAGCGTAATGGCTATGTCGCTGGACTCCCACGTAGTCGACCGCGGTTCGTGTCCCGGACCCGGTGGCTTAAAACTCACGCCGGGCGCGTGTGCGTGCGTGCCCAAGATCCCGAGAGGAGAATGGAGAAGGGATTGCGGCGTGACCATCCCCCCCTGGGGGGGTGATTTCTCGCTTTCTGTCTCTATGTCTCTCTCTGTCTGTCTGGCGAGCGCCCGCGCCCTACAGTGAAAATCTCTCCAAAAAAAAAAAACTCCGTGGAATAGGTTTGGTCCCCGTTTTACGAATTTGAGGCTGGGAGAGCTTAAATGCATTACATGCCCAGTGCCTCCCAGCTAATAAAGTGGCAGAGGCAGGATTAGAACCCAGGCTGCCTGCTTCCCAGTCCTAGGCACGCAACGTTTTTGCTGTGGGAAACTGCTGTTTTAAAAGCTAAAATTATGCATTTTCATTCCGAAACAAATATCCAAGAAAATGCGTTGTAGGTCTTAAAAATAGACTAGATCTCACTTTAAAATGCATAACCACACAGACTGCAAAGTAACCCTCTGAGATAATGAGACAATGAGGAAGTTCCTTCCTCTGCTCCTCTCAGATGAGTGGAACTGGCCTGTAGGGCTTCTGCCCTGCACAGGGGGCGTCTGCAGGACTCAGGCGGAGATCCTGAAAACTGGGTGAAAGGACGGGAAGTCCTGGTTCTCAGGTAACGCACGTGACCTGGATGAAGTCCAGACTGCACATGTTGAAAGCAGAATCGCTTGCAGTGTCTCAATATTTACTGAGCACCTCCTACGAGCCACCGACTGACCAGGGGAGGGGAGGGCACACGCAGGCCAGGCCAGCCTCCTGGGCGAGGGGAGCTCTCCAGGCTGGCACTGTGCTTGCTGGGCGTCCTTTGTCACAGTCCCAGTTGGACTGGAGAGCCCCCTGGGGAAGACACTGGTACTGCTCCTGGTGGTGCAGAATAAATCCACTCCAGCACCCATGTAGTGAATTGAAAGTGGTTTGCTTTGAGTAAACACCCTGGTCGCGCTGAGGAGTGACAAGCACGACTTCCAAACCGCAAGCACATTAGGAAAGTTAGCAGGTTGTGTTTTCTTTTTCTCTCCCGACCTGCGTGCAGGGCCCCACGTACTGATTTCAGCGCATTAGAAAGGGCCCTGAACACGTTTTTACTTTTCCCAATCTTAAGGTTGTTTCTTTTTAAATGACAAAGCCCAGGGGAGTCACCTTTTGACCCAATCCAGAAGTGGCGTGGCCTGAACGGTTCTCAGTGGCCGCCCAGCCTGGAGCGGCCGAGCTAAGTCCACGTGGAGGCCCCGCACCACCGGACTAGTACCCGAGACATTGGGGGAGGCTGAGCCCTGCCCCAGAGGACCCCAAGTCGGCCCGGGGCGCCGCGGGGTTGGCGCGTGGCTGCGTCCAGGAGTGGGGCCCCCCTGCGGCACAGACCCGCGGCTCCAGGCGCTGCCTCCAGCTTGCTACGCCTGCCCGGTGCCCATTTCAGAGCTGCACGTCCTGGGGAACTAACGCGCCTGCACGCTTCCCCGCCGGGCAGTCGGAGGAGCCGAGGATGGGGCAGCGCGGACCGAACGCCCGGCCCCTGCGCCCGGCCTGGCGCGGCACCTGGAGGTGACAGGGGCGTCCCTCTCCGCCGAGCTCTAGCCCGAGAGCTGCGGAGTAGCGGGAGGGAGTCGGGACTCGGTCCCGCAGGGGCGCAGGGCGGGCTCTGGGTCCTCGGCCCCCGAGGGCCAGGCCGGGGCGGGGCGGGGCCGGGG